CTGAGGCAGGAGACTCGCTTGAGCCCAGGAGTTGGAGGTTGCTGTGAGCTGTGATGCCACAGCACTCTACCCAGGGGGATAGCTTGAGACTCTGTCTCAAAAAAAAAGAAATGTAACTGTATGCCAAATTTTCTTTTAAAATTGCATCAATTTCTGCTGCCATCTATAGCAATGCTGTTTCCTCATCCTTTCTTTCTCATCAACACTGAAATATTAGCAAATTCCTTAATCTTTGCCAATCTGAGAGGTGAAAAAAATACCACACCTAAGTGTTTTAATTTTTATTTTGTAAACAAGAAAGTCAAGCATGTTTTCATGAATTTATTGGATATTTGAAATCTTTTCTCCAGGGCATATTTATTCACAGTCTTTATCCTTTTTTCCAAAAGGTATTCCTAAGAACAATATTTAATACTTTAAGCAATGTATCTGAGGAAATACTTAACAAATTTCATTTTAATATTCACACAATATTTTAAATTGGTAATCTGCATCTAAGACACTTCCCCCAAAGAAGAAAGTTGTAGTTCCTGGCAGTATATATTTAATTTCACTACATTTAATACACCTTTACCCAAGTAACCTATAGATTTATAATACTTCCATAACTGTGCTAGAAAATTTTCTATATTAAAATCTCCTTAATTCTGCTTTTAAAAAATCAAATTTCTATGGGCAACTAGTAGGAAGCCCCTGAAAACTGAGAAATAACCATATTGATCTTTAGCTAACATTTTAAAATCATAAATTTCATACAGGGTTTCTCATTTAATACTACATCAAGAAGACATTTCCAAGAATGGAGAAACAAAAAATCTAAATTAAATCTGTCTACAAAGAGCTTAGCATATGTATCTTTCACCATTATATGAACCACTCTCTTTCTACTTTAAAAATCAATTTTGTACAGACCTGGAGTAAACAGTCACAGGCTAGAGTGTGATAAGAACTTGCCTGATCAATGTAAAAGGCCGTGCCAGCACGGATTTCCCTTCGTTGTTTGAGATCAGTTTCAGTGGTGTCCCTTGACAGGGCAACGTATTCAACCTCCCGTTTAGTCAGCTCCTGTAGAGTGGAGAATGAAATGATTCTAAAAATAAAATCAAATTCCCAACATAGGATTTGGAACAAGTTATCTAACAAAGCCACTACCCCAGAGAAGAGCATTTTAAATGTAATTTTAGTTTAAAACCTTTTGAGTGTCAGCTT